TGACGTGCACTCTAGTTTCCTACTAGATCAATGGTTTGCTTGCCAATATAACTGTGGAACCTACTTTGATTGAAGAAATTAAAGCATACCAATGTGAAGATATACTTTTAAAGGAAAAGTACAAGAAGCAAAGAAGTACGCTTGATCCTAACTTCACTATAAGCAATGGGATGCTAAAATTTCAGAATTGAATTTGCGTACCCGACCTTCCAGAACTCAAAAAGAAGATATTGGTAAAAACTCATGCATAGCTCGAGGTTTGCGGTCCACCCTAGCAATACGAAGATGTATCATAATTTGAAAGAAAACTACTACTGGACATGAATGAAAAGAGATATAGTAAGCCGCATCTCTAAATGCCTGCATTGTCAACGTATTAAAGCAGAACGTCAGAGACCGGCAGAGATGCTGCAACCACTTTCTATTCTTGAATAAAAATGGGAGCACATTACTATGAACTTCGTGGTCGGGCTACCACAGCTAGTTTCGAAGAATGATGCAATATGGGTTATAGTAGACCGATTGACGAAGTCGGTGCATTTTCTGTCAATCAAAATCACGTACACCCTTAATAAGTTTGCTACTTTATACATCAAGGAAATAATTCGTTTGCATGGCACCCCACTTTCAATCGTGTCTGACTGAGACCCCCGCTCCGTGTCTCATTTCTAGAACAAATTGCAAGAGGCTTTGGAGACTACACTGAAGTTTAACACTACTTATCACCCGCAAACTGATAGGCAATCTGAAAGAACAATCCATACTATGGAAGATATGTTACATATATGCATATTGGACCTTAAAGGTAAATGAGATGAGCACCTACCCTTGGTGGAATTCGCCTATAACAACAGTTACCAAGCAAGCATTGGAATGGCACCGTACAAAGCACTGTATTACAGGAGATATCGATCACCTTTGCGTTAGACGGAAGTTGGAGACATGAAACTATTAGGCCCCAAAATCGTGCCAATTACAAGTGATAAAATTCAACTCATCTAACAGCGAATTCGCACTGCCCAGAGTTGCTAGAAAAGCTATGCAGATACGCGAAGACAAGAATTGAAATTCCAAGTAGGAGATCATATTTTTCTAAATATCTCACCAATAATAGGGGTCATCCGATTTGGAAAATGAGGAAAGTTAAACTCACATTACATTGGTCCATTTAAGATGTTAGAAAAGATTGGTCTTGTGGTATATCACCTTGCACTACCACCTGAATTGTCCAATGTCCACAATGTGTTTCACTTTTCGATACTTCGACGATATCTTCGAGATCTAGAGCATGTTGTTTATTATGAGGACTTGGAAGTTCAAGAAGATCTCTCTTATGAAGAACAACTAGTACAGATTTTCGATAGTCGTGATCAAGTTCTCCGAAACAAGACCATACCTCTAGTAAAAGTCTTATGGCGGAATCATCGTGTCGAAGAAGCTACGTGGGAAACGGAGAATCAGATGCGGGCCTGATATCCACACCTTCTCGAAAACTAAGGTATGACAAGTTTGAAGATAAACTTCTATTTAAGAGGAGAGAAATGTAACACCCTAAATATTTAATCAATATCACAATCAATTGTGATAACCATAATAGTGATAGTAATAGTAAAATTTAATAAATAATTTTATGATGGTATGTGATAAAATGTATTTTAATTTCAAATTAGGAGTTATTTTGCAATTATTTTATTAATTGGGTTTAATGTAAAATTAAGGCAATAATTGTTGTAGATAAGCCTTTAAAAAAAAAGTGTAATTATTTTAGATATTTGGGCCAAAGTATAAATAGGCATGAACTCTAAGCTAATCTCCTGCTTGCTTGGAAGATAAGCTTGCTTGGGGATAAGGTTTAGCAGGTTTAGCACCTGGGATAATAGACCTAGGAAATGTGGTAGAGGTTTACAGTTGCAATGTGTATCTCGGATCCATGCATCTTCAGTATAAATAGGAGCATAAAAGCATAATGTAACCATCTAAAGATAAGAAACAAAAGTAAGGAACTGAAAAAGGGTGCTTCGAGTAAGTTAGTAAAAAGAGAGAATTTCGATAACGTAAAGGATTAATATTAAGATGAGTTATATTAAATTTTGAGTTATCATAATATATTGTATGTATATTTTGAGTTATCATAATTTATTTTACATAAATTGTGTTTTATAAACTATATTAATATTTCGTTCATATTGATTATTTTCTGAACTCTATTTGCTTAAATTGAAACCCATCAACATGTCTGTTTAAATTTTAATAATTATTTGACAATGGTTTTGTAAACAAATTTTTTTTTTGTAAGTATCATCACGTGAGTCCCATGCCTTGGGGGACTTAAATAAACCATGGGTTTCTGATTGGTCATCTTGTGGCTCTCTATTTGTCATGGATCCATTGATCTCTGTTCTGACTGTCACTCCTGTTACCTCTGTTCTGTACTATGATTATGGTTATTTATTTACATAATTTCTGTATTTTAGTTTCTGTCACTTTAAGTAATTTGTTTATTCAAATTAACTTATGTTAATGTTTCACCTTAAATAACTATTCATGGTTATTTGTGTCCCCTATACTCTTAGCATAATATTCCTCACTATGCTATGTGGTTATTCCTCACTATGCTATGTGGTTATTGTTGTTACCCTTTCGGTCGATGAGATGTAACGAAGACCTGTAACCTCGTATAGTGAGACCCGCACAAGATTTTGATGTAACTCTGTTATTTTGTTTTTCTTTTCTTTCTCTCCCTTCAGTTTTTTTCTGATAGTTTGCCACTGAATAATAAAATACTAAAAGCTCTATGTATTTATTTTCTTTTATCAAAATAGTAGAATGAAGTTAATTTTCTGTTTCATTATTTTCTTACTATCACCCTGCCTCCGCATGTGCCACTTAGTTGAAGATTAAGAATTAATTGGTAAGTCGCGATTCCAGCCCTAAGTCCTAGGGTTGGGTCGTGACAAAACACTCATAAACATGATTTATATTTACAATAATATCAATATCTCAACATTTTTATGATATTTTTTTTTTGTTCAAATTTGAATATATGAATATAATTTTTCATTTTTATTTCCATTATTATATCTAGATTAGATCAATTTAATGTAGATATATTTAAAAAATATAAAATTTGTACAAAATATTTTTAAAAAGCAATTCATTGAATACAACAAAATAAGATAATATATTGAATTTTTGTATTTTTATATTTTTTTTGTATTTGATGAATTTAAAAAAAAAAAAATCACAAAATATTATGCTTCTTAAATATATATCTAGATTAGGTGTATCTAAAAATAAAAATAAAAAAATTGCTTAAAATATTAAAAACAATTCAATAAAAAAAATGAAAAATTAAAAAAAAATCAATTTTTTGTGTGCTAAACCAAAGAAGATGATTGTTATTTTCTTTAAAATAATATGAACAAAATATCTGTATTAATTTATTATGTTATATGTATAAAGGCTAATAGGTAAATATGTCATTTTAATTTGACAAGGGGTAAGTGTAATTTTTCAAATGTGAGGGAAAATATATATTGAACAGAAACCTCAAGAGGTGTCAGTATAATTTACCCTAATAATTTTAAGTAATAATTAATTAAGGCTTTGAAATTAAAAACATCTATCAATCAGTCCTATTAACTAGATTTATTCACTTATAGGTCATAAATGATAAATTTCTCACTATAAATTTATTTATAAAAACAAAAGAGCCTCATAAATTTAGGGAGCCACTATTCTCACTCTACTTTATTCTAAATGCACTTTTTTCTTTGCTCCAAATACATTAATATCCTTGAAATTTTGATTTTTTTAGAGAGTATATTTTTTACAGAAAGATATTAATGTAATTATGTATAATAAAAGATAAAGAATGAAATGTATTTGGAGTAACATAAATAGTGCTGCTATTAGCACCCCATTAATTATCTTGAATATTCTATTTCTTTAGATCCTTACTTATAAATTCTAAAACCTTTTAAATTTCTTTTCTCCCTCCAAATAATACCAAAATTATTTTTATAAAAACATTTCACCCATTCAGTTGAATGGACACCCCCACACTCCAAAAAGCCTTTATTCCCAAAACCCTAACAAAATCCACGAAAATGATTACTACTTCATCTCAACATATTTGTTCATGGCCTGAGAAAATAAAGATAGAGTTTTTTTTTTTTTTATTCAAAATTTTCCTTTTGTAGGTTTTGCGGTCGCCACGAATTTCGGTTATTTGTTCTCGAACAAATAAGAAATGTTCGATTACCTGTTCCCAAACAAATGAATAATGTTCGGGCCTATGTTCCCTAATTTTGGTCATATGTTCGGGAGTTCAGTCTCAAAAAAATGACAAACAGTTTTTATTATTTATTTTAAGGAACTTATCCTAATAAAGTCAACCTCATCTGGGTTAAGAACATCATTAAAGTTATAAATCTCCTCTGAGCTTTTATTGTTGTATTCCTATCGTATCATAGAATTATCATTGCCGAAAAGGTTTTCACTCATTGTCATTGCAAAAAAACGTAAGCAATCAAATGGTTGTCACTGTTATCGCAAGAATATTGTCGTTAAAAGGTTTTCAACATTTTGAGAGTTTTTAAGGTGAGATTTGAAAAAGATGGATGAGTGGTAATGAAGGTGTGTGCTCTTATAAACCCTAACTTATAATGTAGTGGTTGCTTAATTGTGAGATGAGATATTCCAAAATTATTAATATTCTTTTTAATAATTTCATTTGAGATTATTATTGTATTAAAAAAATTAAAAAATAAGAAGTCTAAAAAAATTGATATGATATTAATAATAACACTCAAAATAAAATAAAAATAATGACTTCCTAAATTTATGCTAAATTTATTAATAAAATTTAATGATTGATAAGCTCTAAAATAGAAGCTATTGCATTTAATTAACTAGATTACAATAACCATTAAAAAAAAAAAAAACTAGATTACAATTAATTTAATGCTTTTAACCAACATTAAAACCCGGCCACGGCCACCAAATCCCACTTCACTCTCTCTCTCTCTCTCTCTACACAGTAGAAACTAGAAAAGAAAAGAATAGAAAAGAAAAAGCACCATGCTATCCCCAACTCCAGTGTCTCTCTTTTGTGCTCTTCTCCTTTGTTTCCCCCTTGCAATAGTCTTCACCATCATCACCCCAACCACCACCACAATCGGCGGCGCCGCCACCACCATCCCCCTCCCCATCACCACCACCAGTTGCGGCGGCGCTACCATTCCAATCCCCATCAGAACCACCACTAACCGAACTAGCGCCACCAACCCATTACCCACATTCAAAAACCCACAAAAGATCAACAACAAAACCACCACTTCCCCACCACCGCCACCATCACGCCGCCGCCACCGCAAATCTCCGGCGGAATCGGACGACGATTCGCTGTTCCGAGTCGCCGCCCGAGTCAATCCGAGTCCAAAATCACCCAAAAAACTAGCCTTCATGTTTCTAACCACCACCCCACTCCCTCTCTCGCCTCTTTGGGAAATCTATTTCAACCATACCCCCCCAAATCTATACAACCTGTACATACACGCCGACCCGACTTTCCCTTACGACCCGCCTTTCTCCGGTGTCTTCTCAAACCGGGTCATACCCTCTTCCAAGCCCACGCGCCGCTACTCCCCGACTCTCATCTCGGCGGCACGTCGTCTTCTTTCCCACGCGCTTCTCCACGACCCATCAAACTCCATGTTCGCCCTTCTCTCCCCTTCTTGTATCCCTCTCCACTCCTTCAATTTCACCTACAAAACCCTCATCCGATCGACCAAAAGCTTCATCGAGATTCTGAAACACGAGGTCGGCGCGTGGGACCGGTGGGCGGCGCGTGGGGAAGATGTGATGATGCCGGAGGTGCCGTTTGGGGATTTCCGAATTGGGTCCCAGTTTTTTGTGTTGACACGTAAGCATGCGAGGATTGTGGTGGGTGACAGGAGGTTGTGGGGAAAGTTCAAGCTACCTTGTCTGAAAGAGGACACGTGTTACCCTGAGGAGCATTACTTCGCTACGCTCATGAGCATGAAGGATCCACGTGGATGCGTTAATGCTACTCTCACCCACGTGGATTGGAGGGGGAGACATGACGGACATCCTCGCACGTACAATGCCTCGGTGGTCGGGCCAAAGTTGATCATGTCCTTGAGAAAGGCGAGGCCCAGGTACGGTTTTGATGGTATCAACGGCTCTGATTCGTCTGTGACCAAACGGCGTGACCCATTTTTGTTTGCCAGGAAGTTCTCAGCGGATTCGATCCAGCCGTTGCTAAGTATGGCAAGTGACGTCATCTTCAAAGATTAGGATGGCAATTTTGTAAATTTATCTTCTTTTTCTTTTTTTTGTTGATAATTTTTAATTTTATAGGTAATAATTTATCAGGGAAGGCGGGACAAACCCATGCTTTTGACTTTAATAGAATTGTGTAATGAAAAATTGCACTTTGCTTCTTCATAGATTACTTATTTTTAGTGTATTTTAACTTTGATCTTTTTATTATTTTTAAGTATCTAATATTTCTAACGGTTTGACCTAAATCTCTCAATAATTATCTGCAATTAAACGGAAAAGAATCGTGTTTCACAAACCATGTGGCATCATATCGCACATTAGTTCACGAACTAAACATGATTTCACAAGTCATCTTCCCTTGTTTTTCCACTCACTTTTGATATAAGGCAAATGTCATTTTGACCTTAAATTATTATATTTTATTCACTTTATCTAACAGTAATGATTCATTCATATAAAATTTTCCCTCCCAATTCACATAAATGAGACCTTTATCAGTAAGAAATTAGACAAGGTTCTCATTCGTGTAGATTTTTTAAGAAAAAAAAAAATTATGTGGATAAATTATTAATATTAGTTTAATAACAATCAATATATTTTTGTGACAGAAAATGTCATCATGGGTCAAGTCAACCGGTGTTTTGAGAAAATAGTTAAAAGTTAATTTTTTGAATTTTTTTTTTAAATATGTAAAAAAATATGAGAGATAATATGACTCAAAATGAGTTAAAATTTGACTTTTGAATTTTTATTGTCTTTCCAAATTGGCCCTCAATCTATATTTAGGAACAATTTATGTCAAAACTAATTGAACATTGACAAACTATATGTCTTAAAAGAATTAGAAAAGAAATATGATTTTTGATAATGCGTTTTTTAATTTTTTTTAAGATAAATATAATTTGATTGTTTGTTGATATTCAATTAATTATATTGATATTTAATTAATTTAGTATTTTACATAATCTTACATAATAAACGATTCCTCACCGTCACAACAACCAACTAGCTCTCTGGGCATGTTTAATTGGATGGATTAAAGTATGAGATTGAGATTATTAATCCGTAGACTCAATTATCCTATGTTTGTTTTAACATTTTGGTTTAGGATAATTAATCCAACAAATTTGTAAGATTATTAGTAATGAGGTAGGGGTGAGATTATTAATCCAATGGATATTAATCCAATTGGATAGTGAATACCACACCAATTTAATAGGATTATTAATACTTCATTATTAATTTTGTGAATCAAACATGACCTAATGTCTTGTGCCTAAAGTGTAAAATGGAGTAAAATAAATTAAATTAGTCATATGCATAAAGATAAATCTCATTATCTCGAGCTAGGGTTTAAAATAAAATGTAAGAAATTAAACTAATGTTAATCTTTATTTCCCTTCTTTTCATTAGGGGTGAGCATAGTCCGAATCGGACCAGATTGGGGTAAAACCAGGACCAATCCGTTATCTACGGTTTTTGAAAAATTGGAACCAATCCAATCCGTTTAAATCGTGGAACTAATCCATTTAAACACAGATTGGATCAGTTTAGGACCACGGATTTACATAATTAAATAACAAAAAAATATATATAACACTTTAATTTCATAAAAATATAAATATAACACCAAATTAGTTTCACAATAGCAAGATGTCTTTTCATAATAGCGACATATTGTTCTAAAATTTAAACAATCATAAAAAAAACTGGTTCCACCATAAGTATTTAGACCATTACAAATTAACGCTAAAATCTAGCAAATAAAAGTAATAAAAAAAGATATTATGCGAGTTTAGGTTTGGATTTAAGTTTTATATGAAATAAGAGAAGTTACTATGAAGGAGGGTGTATAGTAAAAATATAGACTATTTGTATACGGTCCGAATCGGTTCCAATCCAGAACCGTGGGGTTCAATCCGGAACCAATCCGTGAACTACGGATTTTTAATTTTTCAATCCGGAATCGAACCACGGATTCAAAAAATCAATCCAAACCTACTGGATTGGACTGGACTGGATCGGATTACGAATTTCACGAATTCCTTACTCAGCCCTACTTTTCATAGGGTAAAATTGTATTTTAGTCCTAAAAACTTGATTAAATTTACATACTTTTAATTAGATTTTTGAACAAAAGGATAATTTTAAGGTAAGATAAAAGAATTCTATTTTATTATAAACCATATGTGACGATTTCAAATTAGAATTACAATTTCAATATTGCTAGTTTTATGAACGAAGTGTATAAAATAAACTAGATTAGTGATTTGCATTATGAAAAATTCTATAATACATGCTCCTTTTGGAGTGTGTACAATATGCCCCAGTCATCATATTTGTGGTATTTAGTTATGATATATTGTGATATTAATTATGATTTGGTTAAACTAATTATGGTATTAGTTACGACTCATTGTGATATGAATTATGACTTAGGGTGTGTTTGATAAGATAATTCAGCACTTAAAATTGAATGTATTAAGTGATAATCAATTAAGTTCGTTTGATAATCACAATTGATATCACTTAAAAATTTAAGTACCTCTTAAAATGTAGGTTAAAATTTTTAAAAAAAATTAAGTAACATGAAACTTACTTAATTTTGACTGAATTTATAAATATTAAGTATCAATATACACTATCATAAATTCATTACCAACACCACCACCACCATCACTACTTCTACCACCACAACTACCACTACCACCACCACCATGCCACCGCCACCACCACCACAACCATCATACCACAGCCATTACCTCCACCTCTACCATCGCTACTATTACCGCTACCACCACCACCATGTCTACTGCTGCCACCATTGCCACTACCCCTACCATCACCATCATCATCATCATCACCATCACCATCACCATCATATCACTACCACCACACCACCATTACCACCACCATCACAATATAAAAATTAAAATATACAATTTTAAAATAATAAATTTCAAATTTAATTTTATACATATCAAACAATTTGTTTTTAGTTAAGCACTTAAATTGTTATCAAACAATTTTTCTGCTTAAAAAATTCAATATTCAGTTTTCAATACTTAATTTTTAATTTTCAATTTTAGGCTTCATCAAACAGCACCTTATTGTGATTATTATTTTGATTATGATCAGAAAAGTCTTTGATTATACCTTATATGATGTTTGGTTATGACTCATTATTTTTTTAATTATGCTTAAAAAAGATTTAATTATAATATTTGTAATAATCAATATTACAAATGTTTACAAATATCATGTGCATATGGCGCATACTCTTTTAAGGGTTGATATATTAGAATGATCCTTGCATTATACAACTACCTTCTTATTTACAACATCTGTCAAAGATGGCAAACGGATGGGTTTATAATGGGGTAATCATGGATCCATTCAATCCATCTCATCCACTTAATCTGACCCAACCCAATTGATTTTGGGCAGATGCGTGTCTTTCGATTTACAGATATGAATGAAATATTTTAAAATTCTCAGATACAATTTGGATGATGGATCAATCATCCCGCACCCACGCAAACCCGATCTGCCTTTAGAAGAAGTTCCCAAAAAAAAGAAAAAAAGAAAAAGTGCTACTCCTAACAAGTAACAACATAGGATATAAATAATAAAAAATATATATTTTTGTGAAAATAAAAAACAATGTCTTAAAAATATATATGCATGGTGTCATGACCTATTATAGACAAATAATACATATTTTTCAAATGGCTAGTTATTAAAGATTGTAAAAATAATTTATTATAATTCAAAAAAATTGTTCAAAATTTGTAAAGTTTAAACCGTCAAACCGATTGTATTCATTCGTCAACCCGCATGATTCGCTCAATCCGCATTCGCCAAACCGGTGAACGGATGCAGATTGATTTTTTCTAATCCACCTAATTTTAGACGGATGGTGAATGGGATGCCACTCGACCCAATCTGATCTGCGATCACCCCTAATTTATAAGTTGTGCATTAAAATAACTTAATTAAAACCTGTTCATTTAAATTAATAAATGAGTTTAAGTAGGTTGGATTTAGTTGGATATAAATTGCACAAATCAATTCAATCAACTTATTTACTTTATTGAACTCTATTTTTTATGGTGGTGGTGATGATGATAGTTTGATGGTGTGGTAGAGATGGAGGTGGTGGCACAGCGGCATTGATAATAATGGAGGTGTTGTGGTGTAGTGGAGATGCTAATAAAAGAGGTGGTAACCATTTAACAAGTCCAACTTATTTAAACTCAATTTTAATTAGGTTCAAAATGTAACCCATTTAAATCTGTTCATAAATTTGAGCAAATTTCAATAGGTTTTACATGTGTACGATTAAGCAGATTCCCAATTTCTAGGGAATAATGCATTAAACATTGAGGAGGCTAGGGGTTTGAACTGATATAACAGCGACGAACTATTTCAGTTGTGATCTAATTATATTAACATATTAATATTATCTTTGTTAAAAGAAAAAAATATCATTTAGGCATTAAATTCTAATAATCATTATTAGATACTATTGGACAATCTTTTGTGAAAAATAAATAAATTGAAACAAATCAAACAAATAAAATAAATTACATACCGAATTTATTTTTACCGAACTGAATGAATATTTAAAGACCAAGTCGAGGGTATGACACTCCGTCCTTAAGACAGATTCGCCCTGCTACGGTGCTTATGGTTATGTGGCGTCTATCTCCCAAGATATAATGATCTTCACAAATTATAGTACCACTCCAAACAATTTGTTCGGTGAACCAAACCTGTGTTCTATACTCTTTTTATTTTTTTCCTAAAAATTATATGAAGAATAATGCAACTAAAGAGCAAAATTGGACAGCAAAAAATGAATTTTCTAGATTGGTTTTAGATACCAAAGACTGTTGGAAATGATAGGTATTTATAGGCAAAAAGTGCTGTCCAAACAGGTTCTATATTTGAATGAACATGTGTGAAACTCAAACTGTCTAACAGTTTGAATCTGTTTGAACAAACTGAATATGTTCGTTACTTGGAACAGTTTTTCAAACTCTTTGAAAAATTTAGCCGTTGCTAGAACAGTTTTTTAAACTATTGGAACAGTTTAATAAGTATTGGAAGAAATACATACTTTGGAAAACAAAATTTCAATTTCAATTTGAAATTCAAATAATTTCCTA